AAAGACTTTACAGTAAATAAAAAATACTAGAAAAAAAAGAAGTATCAACATCTGAATGAACTTCTCTCAGTTCATTTATTTATGGTAAAGACCTTCCATGCACGGATTTCCTCTTTGCTGTGTAGGAAATCATAAGATACACTACTTTCTGTTGAACCTCTGTAAGACTTGGAGCAAGACAAAATGGAACTGGAATTAACATGGGCTATTATTATCTTTCTTCTGCTTTCAGAGCTAAAGTGAGATAGTTAAGCTAACCAAAGTCTCTATCTTTCTTTTCAAATTGTGGCAAAGGTATGACAAAAGCATAAGCAGGTCTAGCATCTCAGGATGCCTAATTACTGTTGTTTGAAATAAAGCTCTGTGTGACAATAGTGAAGCCTGTCCTTCTGCACTATAACAACTCTATGTAGGAACCATGCAAAATCCCTCAGTGTTGGAGGAGATGGTCTGAGTCAACAGTTATGGCACTGGAGCCTTTGAGAGCAGTATAAGATAGTATAATGGTCACAACATTTTGAATATGTTACAGTCCTTACAAGTATATATATTCATGTGAAAGTTGACAATATAAAAGTAAATATTACAGGATTGCTCACCTACTTTGAACTCTTTGAAGGAATAGGAATTCCAGGGTGTAAATACCATGGAACTGCTCTGTGGCTAGTGAGCAGCAGAGTGGTGGCTGTGAAAAATTTCAGAAGCTTAAAATTTAGTGCCAAATAGACCAAAGGTTAGCCCTGAAACTAGAATAGAAAAGGGGAAAAGAAAAATCTGGATGAAATACAGGAAAATTTTAAAACAATACCTGAGCTGCAGTTCTTAAAAAGCTAAGTTTTTAAGGTAATTGCAGTTGGATATTTTTATTTAGTCAATTATTTTATTCTGAGTATACTGCTGTGTTGAAGGTTCATTTCAATATCTGAAACAAGCATGCTTTTTGGAGTAAAGTTTGAAAGAAAATAATCTGAAATTATTATATTTAGCAACTTTTTAGAAAAGACAATGATTTTTACTGTGCTACAAAAAGACTATAAGCAGTATGTCTATCTGTCCTTGTAACTGTACTGTTGTATAACTAGTAGGAAAAGCTTGGCTGTCAGTGTTGGTAGTATTCAAGTGTAGAAAACCCAACAAATTCTTATGAAAAAGGGGACTCGGCATGCACAGCAGTCACATTTTAAACATCGGTATTTTCTCTATTTTTAATTAAAACAAAACAAAACACCAAAAGTTGTAAGTTCATTGAAATGACCAAAAGGGCTACATATAAAATCTCTTTGAGAAGCACCACTGACCTGAAGAAAAAAAAAAAAACAAACTCTTTTCCATCACTTATGAGTAGTACCCCATTGACTTAAAAAACTAATGTATTTTAAAGTTTGTAAAAGAAAAAAAAAGTGTTGTTGGACTAAGACTTCACTTATCAAGTTTAATCCTTGAAGGAATTTTTATGGCTGAGTTATAAATCCTCCACATTAGAGTATTTATAATGGAAATGCTGACAAATGCGATAATAAACACCAATCATGGGGCCATAGTAGCTGGTCAGAATGTGGATGCAGGAGTTTGCAGTGCTATCATAATATTTTGTTCTGTTTCCAGCGCTAATTTGCTTAAATCTACTTTCAGGTTGAGCAGCTGTAAAATAAGAACTGCCTGACAATGAATTGCAAAATCATTTGATTGTTTATAGTTCTCTTAGAAAGCTTGGAAATGTCTCTCAAATATGATTTCATTTAGCCTTTTTTTTTTGGTTTACATGTCTGAATACTAATCGTAATGTGATAGCTTCAAGGGAACTTTCTACTTTCAACTTTCTACCAAAAGGCAGCCTTCAGCGGGCAAAGGGAATATAAACAAACCCGCCTCAGACTAGGATCTAAAAATGGGCTATGATCAAACAGCCCTAAGGCTTTTAAAACCCCCTTATTATCTTTTCCCAGAAGTAATTGACACTGTCATTTTTTGTTCTTAATGTGGTGATAATGGCATGATGCTTTGGGGAGACCAAGGACTTCGTCTGGCCTCAGCCCTGGTGGCAGCAGGGCTTCTGAGCAAGAGAAAGGCCTGTCACTGCCACGGGTGAAGTCCTAGCCCTGCTGAAGTTAGCAACACTTTTGCACTCATTTCATTAGGGCCAAAGTTTCACTGACTTCCCAAGACAGACATGCAGTTTTATTGCACTGCAACTCTACACACTGGGATGCATCTATCTTGGATTGAGACAAGGGTGAGGGGAGAAGGGACCCTACAGTCTTATTATTTCAGGGAGACAGGATTGCACTCCACCAAGAAGCTTGTCTGCAATGTTTCTATAATCTGTTTATGTTCTTAGCAGACCAAGCTTCCAGGACTTCAGCACATTCATGTAGGCCAAGTGACGGGTCAGTAAGGTATCTTGCTGTTTCGCTCTGTTCTTCATGGGCATAAAAGCATGCTTTAATTTTAACACAAGATGTCTAAAAACCCCTGCATCTGGACTACTGTTTTGAGTAAATCTTTGCCAGTTATGGAAAAGCATGAAACATAAGAAATTAAAACTCCCTTCATCACATCTCAGATCCTATAAATCAATGTGTAGCTCCTCCAAAGTCCTTGACATAACACAAAGTGCATTGCGATACTTCATCTCTGCTGTTTGCATATTGTGTTCATTGGCTTACACCACAACTGCATTTTTAATTTCTAATGTTATTTTTAAAATCAGTTATCATATAAGAATGTTACTATTGTTCTGTATTGCTGCAAAATTTCTGGTGATCTGTTAAAAATCAGGATTCATGATGCAAGATCCAGATCTTGATTTGTATTTAAAAATCAGATGTAACATTTTATTTCTGCTTTTTCTCTAGCCTTTAACACAAGTATAGAAAAACCTTGGATCTTGAAAAAGTTCCAATGTTTTGTTATTAAACCAAGAAGAGAAAACCGATGATTTTTGAATTATCTGTTACAGACATTTTTACATTATGAATCTCTTAACTTAAGACTGTGTGCTGTAGAGTTCTAATTTTCTCCAATGACACAAGCAAGAAAAAATATGAAAAGATATATAATCATGCTGTGGAAAGTATAGTTGTGTAGAGATCATAGAGAAATAGCACTAAGAAGTGAATATTGAATTGCGTATTTAATTGTCCTTAAAGAATTTTTCTTCATAATTTTGCTTGAGACAGTGGTAACAGTAAAATGCATCTGGGTCACGTGAACAGTTGTTGATTTTGGAACATTGTTCATTCTTAGTTCTTTTCTCATTATATTTTTAGCAAGAAAAACCCAAAGAACGCACAAAAACACAAAACCATCTGAAGAAGTGAAACACCCCAGTTTCTAGAGAGGATCCAGCTGCGTTAACTATCCAACTGCCTCTTGGAAAAAAGCATTCTGACAACTGGAAAGCAGACGCAATGTGTGGAGTCAGGGAGGTCAACAAAAACAAGTGGTAAAAGAAACCCAGGAAACAAGTGAAAAGAGAAAGAATATTGGAGCATTAATACAGGATATTAGATCACTCATGATAATACTAAAGTGAATGAAATGAGAAAAAGAAGAATCACCACCGGAGCTGACAAAACATGAGACAAAATCAGAGATATAGGGGGCAGGGTTTAGGTTAGCCATAGTAGCCTAAATCCAGGGTAAATCTCAATTTTGGTAACATCACGACATTTCATATAGTGGAGATAAAAGCTGTCCTGCGACGAGAGGCAGAACCTCTGCTCTGGACGGGACATTTGCTCCCATGTTGAATGCAGGCTTGACTTGACCCTGAACAGGCTGGTTGCTGCCTGCCTGCTGCAAACACGGAGAAATTCCAGGTTTTCCTGGGCAGCAGTGAGGGAAGGTGCTGCAGCAAGGAGAGTCGGGGAGGAGTGGGAGGGCAGAGAGACATCAAGAAGGGCTGGAGGGGCTTCTAGGAGGGACCCCTCCACTCGACTGCTGCTCTTCCCGGCTCTCGCTCCCGCTAACAAGCGGCTGGGAGGCATTAGTAGATAAAGCCAAAAAAATGATCCCCACAGTGGACACTGTCCCCATCCCAATCTCCAGGGTACAACTGGCCCAGGCTTCCTCCTTCCCTCCTACTCCAGCTTTTCAGAATGTATTTATTATCTCTCCTCGCAGCAATGGAACATTTGGGGAGGAGGACTAGAGGGGTGTAAATCCAGCAAGAGGGAAACGGGCTTTCTGTGACCTCCTGAAAGCCAAAGTCCACAAATTCACGAGTTTTCTCTCTCAGACGGGTGCAGACAGCTTCCTAGCCACCGCATGTGGCCCTGCTGGGCTGTGCTGAGCCATGCCAGACCCTCCTCCACCCGCTCTGGGCTCGCTGGGAGCCACAGCGCTGGCTGCCCACACGCCAGGCTAGAACTGGTCCCGGAATGAGAATCGTGACAACAAAGAGTTGTGTCCAGATGTTCCACTTTACTGGCCCTGTGACACACGGCATGGACTTGGCAGGCTGGATTTCAAAGCAAAGGGAGTTGTTGTTTATTTTTTTTTTTAAAAGCAGAAAGTGCTGGGTTAAAATGCTCACGGTGAGATTTTCCTAGTCCCTGGCAGGCAGTGGGGCAGGCAATGGAATCCGCTGGAAACCATTCTGCAAACTCAAACTGCTCTGCTGCCCCAGCTGAGCCTTTCATAAAAGCAAAAAATTGCAAAGATTTTAAAGCAAGCAGGTGACACAACACAAACCAAAGGGCCTCAGATCTTCATTTTCCCTTTCCCTTTACAAAACTTATCTATATTAGCAAATCTACACATCCTGAGCCTCTCTTCCCCTCTTTTTCTCTACCCCTCCTCTTCCTCACTCCTCCCCCCGCCCCCAATGCACACTTCCCCAAAGTCTCATTGTTTTGTGTCCCACACCTACATGGTCCTGGCTGTGGGGTGAGAAGCCGAGGCAGGAGCCACGTCTGTGTCCCAAAGAGGAAGGCATCCGGGGCCACCCACTTGGCGCTGTGGGTGGTGCCTGGCCCCCAGCTCTGTCCCACTGCTCCCTAGCTTGCCTCCTGCCTGTTGCAGCCGTCCAGGAGCTCAGTCATGAAGGAGATGTACACTATGGCCAGGCGTAGCGTCTCTATCCGGGAGAGCCTCTTCTCATAGGCAAAGGTGGGCACCTTTTTCCTCAACTGATCAAACGCCTCATTGAGGTTGAACATCCTTTTCCTCTCCCGTATGTTGGCAGCCTGGCGCTGAGCATAGGTGATAACCCTCTTTCTCCTTGGTCTGTCCAGGTGGGAAGTGTTGCGCATCCTTTCCTCTTCCTCCTCCTCTTCCTCATCTTCGAGATTGCCATCTCTGAAGGTAGCCAGGGGCACCGCCTGGGCCATCCCTTCTGGGAGCGACAGAGTTCTGTCCCCAACAGGAGGTCCAGAGGTGACCTCGCAGGGCCTCAGGCCCGATCTGGCCCGGGGGAGGCCTTGGAGGACACCCAGGGAGAGGTCGGCTATGAGATCCAGCACGGAGGCACCCAACAGCCCCTCTGGGCAGGGCACTTGTGGAGCTCTGCAGTGTAGCTCATCCAGCAGCCCCGGGTGCTGGTGGGCTGGGAAAAGGCTTGCTGACATCTTACTTCAGAGAGAGCTTAATCTGGTCCCCTATCCCCATCCCCACTGGCGTTAATATTTATAACCTCCCAGATAACAGGATTAGCAGGACGAGAAAGAACGGCTGTAAAATTTCTCCCTGTGATGCTGATTAGAGGAGACAAGCAGCCCCGTCAGGGACGCGTGGATGCTCCCGAGAGCGGAGTCCCCAGTGAGTCAATCCTGTCACAGTGATCAAGGACAGTTCCTTCTTGGCAAAACCCTCTGCTCTTACCTGCTGAGCACTTTTGTCTCTTCTTATGCACCCGCAACCAAACGATTTTCAGCCTCCTTAAAACCCACAGCCATGCAGCCGGGTCTCCACTGGGCTTGTTTTCCTGCTTTCTGTCGGGATCTCTGAACCCTGAGAGCCACTCTGACAATTGATGTTAGGCAAGTGCATGTATGCTTTTAATGATGTCCTGAAGAGGGGACCTGCACAGAGAGGGCCATTGGGAAGTGTTTACCCTGTTTCCCAGCGCAATGGGAGAGGAATGACAGCACCACCATTAGCCTAAGCAAGCATTGCAGGGGACTCGATATTGCATTCCCAGCAGTAACTGTTGGAACCGACCAGATCCCCTTCAGCTACAGTTCAAACATCTTTCCAGTAAAAGGCTGCTTTGTAAAGCTCTTTTTGGTTCAGGCAAACTCAGAGCACTTGCTTTGAAACTCCTTCCTCCTGCCCATGAGATGAGGATAGTCTGGTCCCAGTCAGGGCAGTGGTTGCTCTCGTATCTTTGATACAGCCATTGTGGCCACTGGCAGGGCACAGAGGAATCAACCTGGGTGCACGCAGTGATAACGCTGGATACACACAGCAAAATACCGTGAAATGCATATCAACACAACTATACACCCAACACTGCTGAATACCTTTCCTTGATCAAGGTTTCCTTGGGGACCAGAGTTGGGCATTGTTTGGATTTCATCTTGGGAGTCTGGAGGGGGTTAGGGGTTGTGTCATCACCCTCCCACACCACAGACTGTCTCTAAATAAACAGCCTGGCCCTGGCAGTGCTAGACATACCCAGGCTGAGTCGGATGGGTATTCTCTGGCACCCAATTTGTGCACACAGCTCCTTTAGGAATGGTTGGCCATTACTCTCGAACTGCCTGCTCCAACCCTCATCTTCCCCTTTGTCATGCATTGTTGACACTGCCGCTTTGGCGCTAATTAGTCTCTAGTTTCTATGGGGATTTCAAAGCCCATCAGATGAAAGGAGGCGGGAGGGGCGGCTGAATGATCCCGCTCCTTGACAATCCTCCCTGCTTGCCTGCGGGACGGCAAACGTTTCCCACCCGCGGACCGGGATCCACCGTCATTTACAAAGCAGCGATCG